AGAAGCCTCATATGTATTGGCCATTAAGATAACAAGAGATAGAAGTTCAAGACTTCTATGTTTATCTCAAGAAATTATTTAGAAAGTGTTTTAAAGAGATTTAAGATGGAAAATTGCAAGCCCATAGATACACCTGTTTGTAAAGACTTGAAATTATCAAAGAAAATGTATCCATTAAATGATAGTGACAAAGCTGAAATGGAAAGAATTCCATATGCTCAAGCTGTAGGATGCATAAATTATGTCATGTTGTGTACAATACCTGATTTGAATCATGCATATGGTCTTGTAAGTAGATTTCAGCGTAATCATGTGATGGCTCATTGGCAAGCTGTAAAAATGATACTCAGATATATTCAAAAAACTAAAAATTACAAATTGTGCTTCCAAGCTGACAACTTAGAGGTTACTAGATCCTCTAACACAGATTTTGTAAGAGACCTGGGTGATAGAAAATCAACCTCAGAAATTGTATTTATCTTTGGAGGTGGATGTGTTTCTTGGTCTAGTAAGAAACAAGATTGTGTAGATCGATATACAATGGCAGCCGAAGCTGGATATAGCCGACGAACCTGTTACAAATTTTTGTGATAATCAGGCTGCATCAATTAGAAATGAAGCTTATAATTCCAAGGGTACGCACATTGAAATTGATTATCATTATATTTATGATATTATTGGAAAGAATGAAATAACTGTAAGTTATTTGCCATCTTCAGATATGATTGCATATCCTTTAACAAAGGGATTGAGTCATGTAGCTTTGATGGGACTTAGAAATATTTAAGTCAGAAACTCCCAAAGGGGATATTTGCTTATGTCTTGGTCATTAGAGGAACAATCGCATTAGCGTGAAAAACTATGACATGACTTTGGATATTTTTTGTTATGAGATGTATAACCGTACTTGCGTGAAAGCCTCATGACAAAAATATGCACATAAAAGTTAAATTCATTAGGTGGTAAAGTCTTTATGATATTTCAATATATCGGGCCCTCATGGCCAAGTGGGAGATGTTGGTACGTGTGTGTGACAATGGGGCCTTTAAACGTGCAATATTTCTCTCTCTTATAATTTAATGCTTTTCACGAAAAAATAGAGGCTTCTTAGATAGAGAAAGTGCCGTTATCTAACGGCTAGAAAGTAACTAACCACTTCCAAAGATTACAGAGTCACGTTTTCTTAGAGATTTCAGGAGAAAGCCGAACATTGGAGAACAACATCCTTCATCCCTCTTTAAGAAGGGTTTCATGGCCATGAAGAGGGACACAGAAATTTACAGAGTTACCACAGTTCTGGTAAAAACATGATCTTTACGATTGATAGTCTCAAGACACTGCCCCTAATCCTAGGGGTGAGTACATCTCTTCCCTCAAGT